TATATATATATATATATATATATATATATATATATATATAATATCATTATACATAGTTAAAGACTCTAGTCTCCTTTTCCATCCTACACTCAACATCATGAGAGTACTTTAGGGACACAACCCTTATAAGATAATACATAAGTGCAATATTTAAAAACTTTACAGTAAAGACATGACATTAGGAATCCTTGGACTTAAGGATTTCTTTCCTTGAGCTTGGGAATCATATATCAAGCTCTTCCCCATTTAAGACATCCTTTAAGAATCCATAACCTACACTTTGTGTAAAAAGTAGAGAAGAATGGAGTTAGCACAAGAATGCACTAAGTATGGCAACCATGCAAAAACATGTATTTAAAAGGGACATTTTTCTTGAAGTCATACTTCATGCTCTTTTGAGTAAATCTTCATAAAACATTTATATAATAGTATTTATATCATTTACATACTTCATATAGACATATTCAAAGGCCAAACATCATATAAAATCACGTATAGAATTTAAGGCACATTTGATGTCACTTTACGGTGAACTCTTTTCTTTTTACAGTTAGCATTTTTCTTTAACAGTGAACATCTTTCTTTTAACTGCTTTATCTCCCAAGTAACCCTCTATTGATACTTGGTGCAATGCATCACCTTAAGGCGACAAGGAATCATTCATACTACTTATATAAGCCAACACATACCCTCCTAGAAGTATAATACATGAAAGACACACTTAGGCCAAGACATAAGAACATTATAGTAAACTCTTGTCATTATGCATATATACTTATTTTGATTTATATAGGACCTTATGAAACCTTACTCATAATCCCAATCTAAATCTACTAGTGCAATGTACATGTGAAGCCCCATAACCTCGCACATACTTAGTAGACCTATCATGAGACCACAAGAGTTAACATATCCTTCATGTACCAAATACGCTACTACATGCAACCAACATACACTTCAATATGGGGCCTTAGTCACAGTCATATTAGAACTTCATGTCATACATATCATCTCATCATGTAAGAACTAACACTGTCATGAAAGAGAACCATAAACATAGACACATTCATTAGAACACCTTCCTAGGACTTCTCTCAAGTGTCACTTGTGCAATGCATAGGTGAAGTCTCATACCTCCACCTACATTAAGCAACTACCCTTAAGTCATCCTAGTTAGGGTCCTTTCTTTACTTCCATTGTTCATTTTACTTTAGGGAAACTATAGCCTTAACCGACAATAAGACCGTGTAAGTCAAACATGGAATTTGGTGTCATCCCCTCACATCAAAAGAAGGTGTCTTACTTGCCAAGGTAAGACATGAGTATCATGCTAGCATATTAGGTGATATCACTTGCTAGATCCTAAGGGGCAACATAGTTATGGAACTTGGATGCATCATGGAAATATCACTCTAACACCCTTTTTGGGTCATGAGGCTATCCACCTCATGAGGATTATGGTGACCTACCTTGCTCCAATGGGAAGGGACACCCGTCACTTCAATTTTACTCGGTGCTAAGCTAAGTTCCCTTTATTAAAAGTCTTTATTACATTACTTTATAAAACATAGGCTTTAGGAGATTCACTCCCCGTAGCTTAGCTCATAGGTTATAGATGAGAAGTCCTTTCATCAACCTATATCATGTGAGAAAACCTTTCACATGGACATAACATATGTAAGCATCTATCTAGTTTAAAATACTCTTGAAAACACCTTTCAAGAGCCCCTCTATTGACTAGATCATCATACATACATACATGTAAGCAAACCTTTCACATAACACCTTAGACCACACATGTTCATACTTTACTTCATTCATGCATAAGTGTACAAGTGTAACTATATGAGTCATGCTTTCATATAAACACATTTATACACTAGGTATAATCATACTTCATCATCCACATACTTCACACTGTAGCATATAAGACATGTTCATAACATACTCATGCATTTATATCCATGTACATAAGAGACCAAACCTAGGAACTATCCTATCAAGGTACACATGTGCAATGCATAGACAAGGTCTCATACCCTTGCCCATACTAGTACACCTATCAAGTCATCCTAGTTAAGGAAAAACATATCATACTTTCATAGACATATACTTAACATGCATAGTAATAGACACTAGTTAATATGAGAACAACCTTTGATTAGACACTATGATCCTATACTACTAGTAAACATGCATAATGTGTGAGTGTGTGCGTACATTAGTCAATGTGATCACATAATGGATATGAACAACATATTGAGGCAGCCACCCTCTTAAGACCACATTACACTTTCAAGCATAGACCACACAACACAATTTAGCATAGGAGGCAAGCTTACTTCATATTACACTTTAAGACTCCTAACATTAGCTATTCACTCATTTATATAGGGGTACATGGGTAGGGGTCATCAATCCATAACACTTCATTAATGGCAGCACCTATACATGCTCTTAACATAGATATATACACGCATATACAATAGTCTTACAACCTAGATCACAACTAGAATAGGAAAGTAGGCATAAGCTTCACATAGTGTGATCATTGTAACCACACACTCATGTATTCATCACTTTGACTTCAAGTCCATAGTCAACACATATTTAATGACAATAAAGCAAACACCGCCACCATAAGTGAACCATACCACACAATGTCATACAAGGCTTCATCATTTAACAATACTATAGAGAAATAGAGAAGTAGAAGAGTATAACAATTCTTACCAATCCTTTAGCCTTTGGTCATCATTGACCATTACTATTCTTTCATCAACAATTCGAATATAGGGCAGTATCTAAAGTACAATAATCATGAAAGAAACCATGTACAAGTCGCTACAAGATCATACTACAAGCTAATACAATACATCACATATATACTAGAAAGTAGAGAGTTATAGATCATCAACCAATTTCCCTAGTCTTGTTCATCAATCAGATTTTATCAATAATATGATTTTAGGGAAGTATCTAAAGAGATAGAACATCATATCTTAATCATGCTTCATCCACCCTAAAATATAGATCACAACATATACATTACTCTACCAAGTCTATAGGCTATAAGAACCAAATCTATCTTTACCAATTCAATGGTTATCTATTCATATTAGATCAATTATACCTAATTATCATCACATTATACATATAGGCAGTAGCTAAGGACAATTCACCATAATCGAGTCATATGACAACCAACCTAATGTCAAGATCACTTGATACACTAGAAGATTCTAGATAAATTCAAACCAAGCCTTATTTGCTTTGATCATACAAGATTTATATCCACAATTCAACCATGGTATTATCCTAAGGCAGTAGCTACAAGCATCCTATCATAATCGAATTCCAATTTTATACATTATAAAACCAATGTTACATTGAGTACATGGAGATCTAAGCTAGGCATGTTCAAATATTCATACATTGATCCACATGGATCATTCATCATCAATTCATCATTAATACACATAAACAGTAGTCATAAGCAATTCAACTAATAGAATCATAATTCAACTAATGACAAGCTAAGATCACTATGCGCATGCAAGGCTAAATTGAGTTCACAATCCAATTGGATTGTTTTTCACATTAAAACCAATACATTATCATCAATTCATCAGGATTAAGCCTTTGAAAACATTTTTAGAAAGAACACATAGTTAAATTGAAAGTTTTATCATGAAATCTCTTTGAAAACTTTGAGATTAACTCTCCAAGTGAAAGGTTACTTAGAGATAAAGGATCACCATACCTTTATTAGTTGAAGAATCCACTAAAATTTGGTGAAGAAATAAATGAAGAACTTCAAACCTAGCTTCAATCTTTCCCTTATTTAAAGAATCTTGACAAATCTTGAATTTTCTTGAATGGAGTCTTCTACTTTGATTTTCTTTTTGAGGTTTTGTCCTAGGGTTTGATAGAGAAGAGAATGATGAATTTAAATATGGAATGAGGAATATTTAGGGCTTTATAGGACTTGTGAAATCCTTTTATTTAGGTTTCCCTAGTGGAAAAGGAGAGGAAAATTGCCTTATTACTATTTTCCCGCGGCCAAAACGGAATTGCACTATACTATTCACTACAATGGTCATAACTTTTTACTCGAAAACTATATAGATGCGAATTGGTGGTGCTGGAAAAAGGATTCAAATACCTTTAATTTCATAGGTAATGGCTCGCGTAGTATTATAAGATATATGGTCGTTTCGAGGCAAACCTTTCGAACGTCATGGACGTTATTGGACGTTTGACCTCCTAACTTCACGAAACTTGACACATTGCCTATAAATATTATAATAACTCATATAAGGACCTCATAAGCTCATGAAACACACATAAACACATATAAGTAATATAGGTAACTTAGTCATCAAACGTCTTAGTCGTCTCTTGACGTTTGACAACCAAATCATCTAAACATACTTTAAAGCACTATATTAACATGTTGACAAACTTATAGGCACAAGTGAGGCTCTAGACACCCAAAATTATTTGGGGGTCTTACAGACTCATGAACCACCATAGGATCTGAGATAAGGTTTATGTACCCCTAAGGTTTATGTACCCCTCTTTGTATTTTGATTACTTTTTGTTATTAATGTTAAGGCCTGGGGTGTTACTCAGCCCCTCAACCCAGGCTCGTTAATTTTTTTTAAAAAAAAATCAGGAAACATGGACTAGGCATTTTTACAATTATAGATACAACAATGCACATAGAATAGTACATGCCTATCATTAAACTACAGATTAGCAATAGAGTAGATAATAAGTGAATGTCATACTTAGACAAATAATCCCAACATAGTTGAATTCATATCTCGACTAGTGGTAGATTCAATTAAGACCATCAATATGCATCAATGACACCCAAAAAATTTTGTGAAAATAAAACCTTAGCAAACAGAGAAATAAAGGAATAAAATAACAAATGATATAGATAAGGAATAGATTGAGTCATTTATTCCCAACAATTTAACAAAAGGCATATATCACAAATCAGGACTTAGCAAACATGGAAAAACATTATTTTGATAAATAAAAATCTCAATACTTAGAAATCAAAACTCACATATTCAGATGGACTTTGGGTACTTGAAAAGTAGAATATTCTGCCTACGAATTCAAGAAATTAAAGAAGAAGATGGACATCTACAACAACATTGAAACGTACATGAAAAAAGAACATGAAAATTAATGAGATTGAGAAATCTAGGGTTGAGAATCAACTACACTAAAACAATGGTCAACAATGGTGGTAGGCGAAGCTCAACTTACCAGGGAAAAATGTTGATGACCAAAAATTTTCAAGGAGAGCACCGTAATTGTTTATCAAACAGTAGAGTCACACTTTTGTCCGCTTCAATGGTGCCTATATCCAAATTCAGAGAATTGATTTTCATGAACTAGTTTTCTTTTATTTTGTTGGTTATTATTGAAGGGAATAGCAAAATGTCATGAAAATAAAGCAGAGGCAAAATATAAATTGGTAAAAAGGGTTTTGATTATTACTGGTAAATTATTTTTATTACTAGTAAAAGGATATCTTTATCAGCTAATTTTTATTTGCCATTAATATTTGAGCTAAAATCAGTAAATAGTGGCAAATATCTAATTAACTCTAATTAATTGGCATTAAAGGTAGTGTCATTTTAAGGTTGAACATCAAAATTCAACTCTATATCGCCCATAAAAAAAATTGAGTCGTAAAAGCTTCTAACAAAAATATAAAAAAGATAACTTCGTAAAATGGTGAAAGGATCTCGACAATGGCATGAAAAATTGCCTTTGTTGGGTTATCGCACTACAATATGTATGTCAGTAGGGGACACCTCCTATTCATTGGTATTTGGGATTGAGGTAGTTATACCTACAAAGGTTGAGATTCCATCCGTACGAATTATTGTGGAGGGTGAAACTGATGATGATGAGTGGATCAGAACCCAGTTGGATCAATTGAGTTTGATTGATGAGAAGCGATTGACATCAACATGTCATGGACAGTTGTATCAGAAAATAATGGCACAAGCATACAACAAAAAAGTGTGTCCCAAATGTCTCGAAGAGGGTCAATTGGTATTGAGATGCATTCAACCACCTCAGGTCGAAGTCAAAGGTAAATTGTCTCCAAATTGGGAAGTACCATTCATTGTAAAGAAGGTATAATACAATGGTGCTCTTTACTTAGCAGATACAAAGGAAAAATGACAGAAATGGTCGTCAGTATTGATGCTGTGAAGAGATACTATATATGATTTGATTGTTCGGTATTAGAAACCCTCATGTTTGGACTTGCCATTTCAAAGGTTGATGTAATGAAAATTCTTGATTTTGTGTCTAAAAACTAAGTCATATGTTGTCACCCTTGTTGAAATTTAATTTACATCCCCAATTTTTTTGCTTCCTTGGATTTTCCAAAAAAAAATCAATTACTTGAACTACGTTTGACTTAATTCTTTTTTCGACAAGATAAGTAGGCATCCCTAGTGTTGGGTTGGGTTCGGTCCATCCAAATAAAAGTCCAAAAATTCCATATTGTATTAAATCGGGGAAAGAGTCGTTTATTTATTATTTCTCTTTTCTTTTAAAGCAAAGCTCAAAGTCAACCCCATCATTTATAGTCAATCAAAGAAATACCTTTGCATCAACCTTTGAAATGTCAAAATTAAATATGCTAAAGGTACGAGCAATGGAAACATACTGTTTTTTCATGAATAAAAGAGAGTCTTATTGGTAAAGACCCTAAGTGGGCATCATAAGGCGAATGTAAGTTGAGAGAAATAAAAATGAGAGAGTCTTATTGGTGAAGACCCTAAGTGCGAACCAAAAGGCAAAAGTGAGTTGTGAAAGAAAATAAGAGAGTCTCATTGGTGAAAACCCTAAATGGGCATCATAAGGCGAATGTGAGTTAGGAGAAATAAAAATGAGAGAGTTTTATTGGTGAAAACCCTAACGGGAACCATAAGGCGAATGTGAGCTGGAGGAATTAACATGATAGAGTTTTAATGGCAGACACCCTCATGGACATCCTAAGGAGAATAAGGGTTTGAAATTATTTATGACTTCGGCGAATGTTTGGACTTCACATCAAGATTGGATGATTAATAATGGTTGATGAACAGATTGGATGGACAAGTCAGGTAATCAATTCAGAATGCATGTCATGATTACTATAGTCAGCTCCCACACTCAAATAAGTTTTTCTTTCTTCCTCTTTCTAAAAGAGAGTCTTCATAAAATCATATTCTTTTATTCTTGTCTAGTTTCATCACTTTGTTTCATATATATTTGAGTCGAGTCTATGTCAAGAAACTAAGAAGAGATTTCATGACTTGCTACCAACTCTCTGGATTGTAATAGGAGAAGCATTATGCTGATGAGTTACAATCTGTCGGCAAGTATTGGATTCGGAAGAAGTCCCTAATTTTATGAAGGCTAAACAATGAGTGCCGTAAAATAAAGGCGGATATTGGATTAAAATCCCTCAAAATAAGCAAATTTGGGTGAAAATACAGTCAATCAATAACGAGTACCGGCCATTTGGAAATAAGTAAAGCATGACAAGTACTTGAGCGACCCTTGTCAAAAAGTGGAACCACAAACCAACCACCACATTTTTAAACTCACGATTTTTTTTGTTCAAGCGAGGATACAAATTGTTTCAAGATCGAAGATCCGAGGAACCTAGATGTTTAATTTAGTTTACAAAGAGAGAAATGAAAACATTTAAATAAACGTTTGTGGAACCCAATTATATGAAAATTGGTCAATAAGTATCAAAATAGCAATTACCTAAGAGATTGAATCTACTTTTCTTGAATGTAATGCAAATAATTCAGATAACACTCACAAAAATATAAAAATTAATTATGGTGCATACTGGGGCAAATGATTTGTTGGTATTATTAGTCTATTGAATGTATTATTAGAAAGACCCTCCTGGATAATGGGACTAGCAGGACCCCCATGGATAATGGGATTATCAGGACCTTCCTGAATAATGAGACGTAGTATAGCAAGAACCTTCATCAATAATGGAACGTAATATAGCAAGGACCCTCCTAAATAATGAGACGTAATATAGCAATGACCTTCTGAATAATGGGACGTAGTATATCAATGACCCTCATGAATAATTGGACGTAGTATAGCAAGTACCCTCATGAATAATTGGACTTACTACAACAAGGATCTTCCTAAATAATGAAACGTAGTATAGCAAAGGACCCTCCTGAACAATGAGACGTATAGAAAGGAACCTCCTGAATAATGGGACGTATTATAGCAAAGACCTCCTAAATAATGGGGTTGACAGAACCCTCCTGGATAATTGGGACTAGTAGGATACTCTTAGATAACAGGATAAACAGGTTCTTCCTGGATAAGGGACTAGCAGGATCTTCCTGCATAATGACATTAGCAGGACCCTCCTGGATAGGATTAGCAAGACCCTCCTGGAAAATGGGATTAGCAGGAGCCTTCTAGATAATGGAATTAGCAAGACCCTCCTGAATAATGGGATTAGAAGTAACCTCATGGATTATGGGATTAGTAGGCGAGACCCTATTGGATAATGGGACTCTAGTAGGTCCCTCCTGAATAATAGGACTAACAGGACCCTCATTGATAATGAGGCTAGCGGGACCCTTCTGGATAATGTGATTAGTAGGACCTTCCTGGATAATGGGATTAGAAGGATCCTCCTGGATAATGGAATTAGTAGGACCATTTTGAATAATAGGACTAGGAGGGCCCTCCTTAATAATGGGATTAGCAGAACCCTCATGGATAATAGGACTAGATTAACATAAGTTAATGTAGCTGGTTCATCATGAGGAATGGAATTGGTTGAACACACATAAGCCTTCTGAAGAGTACATCGCAACAAAGCTTGAGTCGTTCAAAGTCCCGATTCAAAGATAAGAACCATCTTTTATTTTTCTCACAAAATTTTCTTTGATATAAATTGGGGCAAAGTTTTGTGTTATTTTAATTTCAGCAATCCAAGTAGATTAAAGTCAATCCACACTCCAAGCTAAGGATCTTATTTGGAAAAGAGTCTAATTTTTAAGCTCATTTTTTATGGAAAAAGCAGGAGCTCATCCTAAAAACACGATCAATATCCAAGTAGGGGTAAAAGGAACCTAACAGTAGAAAGGCGCTTACTTTCAAACTTACTCGAGTTGAAAATCGATATCTCGCAACTTGATTGACATGAACACCCAACTCAAGATTCAAGAGAAGCTACATAGATAGAATCTTGTACTTGTATTTTCCCTTAATTTTCAGCCTTTCATTTTTCATGTAAAATAGGAGGTACGAACTGGAGCCTCGAGGGGATATTACTTGACTTCTAACTCATCATTTCATTTTCTTGAACTAAACGTAACCTGATGTTCTTATAACTCGAGATTTGTAGGTTTTTCGAAACCAGGACTCGGTCGGATATTTTCCTCTCAAATAAGAGTTTGGTCAAAATTTATTGCTTTTCTACATCTTTGTCTGAGAATCTTCATATTTCCAGTCAAAGAGGGGAAAACTGTAGACACGTAAATTTTACTGAATATAAGGTTTTACATTTGCCTTTATTCCTTAAATGTTTATTTAGGTTAAGTTTGAAATTTTGATTCTTTGTCTTATCGGATATTTTCCTCTGAAATAAGAGTTTGGTCAAAATTTATCGCTTTGTCAACATCTTTGTCTGAGAACTCTTCATATTTCCAGTAAAAGAGGGGCAAATTGTAGACACGTAAATTTTACCGAATATAAGGTTTTACATTTGCCTTTATTCCTTAAATGTTTATTTAGGTTAAGTTTGAAATTTTGATTCTTTGTCTTATTTTAGCAAGTTTATTTTAAAAGATATGAAAATAACAAAAAGAAAAATATTTTTCAATATATTAAACTTGTTGGACATTTTTAAAAAAAAAGATAAATAAAAATTGTTGGACATTTTATAGTCTGAGATCTTCTTCGCGACTTCGATTTCATGTCTCTAAAAAGTTAATTTACGATTATTAACTTTGGTAACTTTGGAAATCAAGTAAATCGCAATAGTTATTTATTTTTTCGGTGGAAATTTTTGTAAGAAGTTACAACTTCCTCTTATTGTATCTTCACATTAGCATAAAAATGTAATACTATATTGCTTTATTTTTTTTAAGCGGAATATATATAAATTTTTACTCTACCTCTTACTTTTGTTTGTCGTGTAAATTTGATATATTTATTCTGTTTGAATTTTTGGTAACTTTTTGTTTTAAAAGAGTTTATTAGTTGATTCGTGTTATCTGATTTCACTCAATGAATACATAAATATTAGTGACATGAAATTGATAGTCGACTTAACAGCAAACTTCCAACTTATTGAATGGTGGAGTATCATATATGTAAGAATTTATAATATTATAGGATATCATCTTTGTTTACTTTTATTTTATTTTTGAATACTTTATTTATATAAAATCATATAAACCAAAGATATTATTCAATAGAGAGTTAGAAAAGTTGTGTGGAAAATATGTTTTAGTCCTTTTTATTTTATTCACTTTTGACTAAGTAGTTTGCCTTTAGATTATACATGAGATGATTATTTCTTTTTTTTCAGTTTATTAAGTATATAATTAAGAGGAGATGAACTTTATTTAGAAATTCATTAAAAAAATTGTATAGCAATAGAGAAAGAAAAAATCAGTAAGTTCATAAGAAAAGAATGAAAAAAATTGAAAAAGGATAAAACGAGGAAGAAAAAAGAGAGAGAAAATAACATTAAAACTAAAAATGAGGAGAAGAAAACAAATGGAGTTACAATAGATTAAAAAGATAAAAAACAAAATAAAACGGACAGAATATAATGAATTAATTTTTTTAAAAAGAAGGAGCGAAACATAATAAAAAAAGGTAAGAAAAGTAAGAACACTAATAATAATAAAAAAAACAGAATAGGAATCTTAAAAAATAAAGAAGAACATAAACGTTAAAAAACGTAATACAAAATAAGAAACACAATTTAAAAAAAAGAATGAAAAGACATATGTACAAAATAATAACCAAAACAGAAACAATATTGTTATGGAAAAGTTAGAAAGGGACGTGCAAAAGAAAAGAAAAAAATAAAAATAAAGGGAAAATATTCCTAAGAAATAGTCCTAATCTCTTTAGAATTT